ATTTTTTATTGATATGTTTTCAGATCGACTAGGTGGGGTTAAAAATAAAAGAGTCTGCACGAGGAGGTACAAAGGGATTTGAAAAAGTATAAAATTTAATTGTTTAGTTAATTCAGTTCTTATGCACCATTTAAATAAGGTGTTTGCATACACTTCTATTACTGTCTTTCTCCCAAAATAAATGGTTGTGTATTTTCTTCAATCATTTATACACTATTAGTACCTACTAGTCTACTAGTCCATAGGCACCTCACAATGTGGGGATGTCAGAAAACTGAGAACTGCAACTCACTTTTTTTTCACCTCTCCATTTTATTATACTGTACTGCATAAAGAAATCTTTGATGCCTTGACCCTCTAAATGTCATGTGGTCCTATTAGTTGATTAGCTTTTGCCGTTATACATAAATACAGTGTGTCTCAAAATTATTCATTGAAAATTAAATTTTCATTTCTCAAAAAGTAGTGGCCACAGAACAATGAGAGTTGGTAGTAATGTGGCATAACTTTCTACTTCTAATTATCCATGAGTGGCAGCACCATAGGAAGCAATATGGCAAAAATGGTATAACAGAAGGCAAAGTGTGTGATTTTGTATGCAAAACTTAGCAGTGTTGTACTCATGCAGTGTTAGTTCAAGCAGTTTTACGTAAAAGGTAAGGTTCCACACACCACGAAGCATTCTGCATTAGTTCAGGCAATTTTGAGAAACTGTAACAGTGACTCCTCAAGAAGGAGCAGGCAGGCCAAGCACACCTACTGATGTTGTGGTCAAAACTCAGACAGCAATGACAAAAACCCCCCAAAATTTTTGCAAAGGTTATCACATGAAGTGAATGCCATTGCCACCAAATTGTGTCTGAACCCACCCAGAATGATTTGTGATGCTGGAACCTTCCTTGTTCTGTATAACCGCTTGAACTCACACTGTAAGAGCACAACACTGCTCAGTTTTGCATAAAAATCACACACTGCCTTCTGTTGCATCGTTGTTGCCATATTGCTCCCTACAGTGCTGCCACCCATGGATAATTAAAAGTAGAAAGTTATGCCACATTACTACCAACTCTTACTGTTCTGCATCCACTACTTTTCAAGGAATAAAAGTTTACCTTTCTATGAATAATTTTGAGACACACTGTAGAAGTGCATTATCCCTCATGAGAGACTGAGTAACTATGTATACTTCCATTTTTTCTCTTTGCTTCAAACGTCCTCCTGTCAACAAACTTTATTTTTTGTAGTTACTGGAATGATGAAACTCCTAATGTAGTCTTTGGTCTTGATCATGAATTATAAAGAAAGCACTTTCAGAGAACATTTATTCAGGTTTTCACAATATTCAAGGAGATTGGGATAATAGTACAAACTGCAGACAATGTTATGTAAATACCTAGAGTAATACATGCACATGCATTGATGATGATGATGTAAAAATGTCGAATGAGATGGAGAAGTAAATAACCTCACAAGGTAAGCCTAAATTGCAGCAATGGCACAACTTTTACTGACATAAAACTCAATGTATGCCCATTACTCAATACATCCTCTCACTATGCAGCCATGACATTCCAAAAAGAAAAAACAATGGCATTAAGTTCAAATACTGATTTGAAAAATCACATGTAAGATAATTAAAATTTCTGCCATTATTTGCAATGTGAAAGGGAAGTGGGTATGGCCCTCTGCACAGGAGATAGAAAATTGAAATGTCTATTAATTTGCCATCAGCAAAAATTTTTATGTAATTGATGCCCAAAAGGTTCAAGCAAGTTCAAAATTTGTTTAAATGGCCAATACCAATTCCAGTTTTTCCCCCTCACTCAGTCACTTCAAGTTGCTCAGCCTCTCCTTTCCATTTCTATATAATTTACATAACCAGACTCCAAGCTCAGTTCATCTTCTCAAAACCTATCCCTACTCATATAAGATTCCCTCTGGAATGCCAATTGATATGCTTGGGTTTGAAGAAGTCAGAAAATTGTCCAATAGTTACGCTTATACATGACCATTAGGAAATAATGTAGCACCTACATCAGACCTTTAGAATAGAGACTTGGCCCAAAATGTACCATCTGAGCAGTTAGGTCTCTCAAGTCCCAAGGCAATCACATTTCCTGCCATTTGGGTGACCAGAGATGTTTTCTCTTGCTGATGAAAATTTTATCAGATCAAAATGTATAGCTGAAATGCGAGGTTCATTACAACTGCTGGTTCAAACTTAGTTCTAAAGATGTAGAAAGGCAGTACTAAGCACTTCATGGCAATTTTCATTTTAACCCTATATTCTGGTTCTGATGTGTCTAAAAGGGGATATCAAACTTAAAATTAAATGCAACTATAAGGAAGATGTAGCCTTCAGAGCCAGTGCAGTCTTGAACTCATAGAGCATGCAAAGACAAAATCTGATTCTCTATCAGTATTATTAAGACAATTAATCAGAGTACAATAATCTGAGTAATTATAATTGCCCTTACATGGCAGTTTCATTCTTCCTGGCAAGATTCCTTTCTAACCCTTCAAGCCAGGACTTTCCTGCAAAAATTTTTTACATTTTATATAGTAAGTGCCATAGGCACATACCAATGCATTAATGCATTGTCTCCATGTTCCAATGGGCCAACATTGCATTGCACTTGAGTGTACTGATGAGACAATGGCAGGTCAATGTAGATAACTGCCAACGTAAATCCTTGTCCTTAAAACAGCTACACCCATCAATACAAAGTAGTTCACTCATTTGATGAGTCAGTCTTTGTTGTGAACATTGAGAATAAGCAGGCTCTATGCTCTATTGCATCCATACTATGGTACTGAACAGAGCAAAAGAGAGCATCCAATACATGGAGACTGACAGTAATCTGATGACTGACTTCATGCCACAATAACATAAGTGTTCCAATGGGACGGTTCAATTACTCATGAAGGTGTTGGCTATGAATGGCATAGTTTCAAGTGTAGTGTATTCAATCTTAACTAAGGTTTGTGCTCTGGGTAAAGTGTAAGTATGAGGGATAAGCCAAAATAATCAGGAATCATATTTATCTCATCTCTGCAAATAAATCATTATTTGTATAAGCTTTCAAAGCATATACATTCATGGTCTCATCCATTTGTAACAGCATTTTTGCAGTCGGAAGTGGCAGTGTTGCATTAAGTGTTAATGGCAGCTGCCATTAAGCAATGATAAGAGATGGAAGCTTTTGCAATGGAAAAAGGGATTAAATTCTCAGACTGATAACAGTATTTGGAAATGACTAAATGAGGAAGATAAGAATTTAGGAGTGCTTCAATAAGTTCAAAGCAAGGGAAGTTAGTGTTGATAACCAAAAAGGATTCAAGCATAACAGTCTGCTGGAGACCTTTCTATAAGACTGTATAGGAATGCTTATTGTCAACATACTTACACATGGATAAACAGTGAGTTTTTGATGGTACATAGAAGAATTAATCAAGCTCAAACTAGCTATCCAACAATTGACCATGCATTGGACAGGTTTTGCTTCTTCTTGACAATGCTTATCCCCATTCAGCTTTGAAAAGTCAGCAAAACAAATCAAACTTAGAGGTGGAACATTTCCTCATCTTGTCTTGATTTAGCCCCCACAAATTATTTTGGTCACATTTTAAATTCTTCTTGACAATGCTTATCCCCATTCAGCTTTGAAAAGTCAGCAAAACAAATCAAACCTAGAGGTGGAACATTTCCTCATCTTGTCTTGATTTAGCCCCCACAAATTATTTTGGCCACATTTTAAAGGAAGCATTTGTGCAGACATTTCACAAATGATGGAGATGTGAAGAATACTGTCACATAATGGATCAGATGAAAAGATGAACTATTCTCCAGAGAGGATATTGCTAAATTGGGTTCCAAGATGGCAAAAGCACGTTGAATCAAATGGAAACTTATTTCTAAACTATTAATTGTGTATGTTTTAGAGTTTCTAACATTGTCATTTGCAAGCATAAAATATAATTTCAAATTATTTTGGCTTAAACCTGGAAAAATTTAATTTTAATTTTATGTCAATGAGCATTTTTGGGATCATTTAGTACCTTTTCTAATTGAGTTCCTGGGCCCAAAATGTAAAATCCCTCAGTAAAACCCATTAACTCTTTTGCTGCATAGTAGAATCAATATGGGTAAGGGAGGACTACTTGTGTGAAAAAAGTGAACCACCGCAGCAAAAAGTGAAACTTGAAAATGAACTTTTCAAAATATTTGAAAATAAATTTTTTGAATATGTGAGGTTAATCTCAGTTCAATACATACCTGCAAATGTCATACAATAATCATAAATTCTTCATTATGGCAGAAAAGCCAAGATTTTCATACATATGTTGCCCAAGCACTTATCACATACTTTTTTCCTCCCTTAGTGATAAAGGTAACAGATTTTTCTTGTTTACCAAATTGTGAGGGTGAAATGGCTAACTGAGACAAGAATTGGCACTCCAAGTATACATTGCAATGCAAAAGAGTGATGGTTGCCATTAGCATCAACCATAAGAACTGGCTTGATGGGTTCAAGTGGAACACTCCCATTCATGTCAGTAAGTTAGTACAGGTGACAATACAGTAAAACCCCTTTGTTATCAACTCAACTAAGATTTCACACAATGAAATGTATCACCAGCAGAATGTCCACAAAAAAAGCCCTGCTTATAACCATCTCAACCCCCCCATAGCAAAACAACTTTCATAGTCCACTGCCTCTTTATTATAACAGGGAGTTACTGTGCTATGAATGCATCATGGAGAATACCTTCCTTCTTCACATATCTTCTTCCATCAAAAGGAAGCTCTACACTATGATGGTTAAAAATTAAACTACCAGAACTGTTGAAGATGCTGATTCCAATATTATGTAAGACAGTATTATCAGATCCTCATGAAAACAGTCACACCTATGAACAGATATGTATATTTGGAGGATGTCACTACCAGAAGTTCATACAAGCCATTATTGAAACAAAACTTCAATGTTAATGTTTTGACTATGGGTAAGTGATATTCTGAATTTTTTTTTGCCCTAACTAATGCATTCCAGGCCTAATTGTATTGGAAATAAAATGAGCAATAGGTGCTACCTTGCATTCATCATGTTGAGTATCCTAGATGTATTTGTACAACCTCTCTGGGCTGCATGGCAACCCTGGATGTCTGGTTAGCAACTCACGACCCTGAAGTTTCAAAATCACAGTTTTGAAAATTATTTCACCTTGCTCAACAGGGAACCGAAGTCATACTACTAGGTTGCAACAAAAGTTTTTGTGCATATATACAAAATTTATTTTGTATTTATGCACAAAAACTTTCGTTACAACCTAGTATTATAATTATTTCAAAGTGAGCTTCTTTGGTCGACCAAGCATGAGCTCATAGTTACAAAATCAAAATTTTGTTTACACCATGCATATTTGACTCATTCAATGAAATATGGAGCACACTGATAATTCAGCCATTTTTTGCTTCTGTGTACACTGCAAGGAAGATATTGGAAAGCATCACAGATGTGGGATCACAAAACGAAACACTGTGACATTGTACCACATACAGATCTCCTTGTACATTCTACTGAGCCTCTAGCAAACTGTGCTTCACAGGGTGACTTTGGCCCTTCAACAGCTTGCAGTCCACAACAGAAGCTCTACTGTCAACAACAGAGAGAGAGATCCCCAACTGGGCTGCATAGTATGTAGTCATGATCAATGCCTGTAAAAGAAGCAAGAAGCTCCAGAATTAGATTCTCTTGGGGAAAGTAGTCAAGAACTTCAAATGAAAAGTGGTTTACCTGATGATATGGTACAGGAAATACAAAATCGTTAATGCCAATGAGTGAATCTGAGAGCAGAAAAAGGATGCTTCCAGCACATGAACTCAGTTTTGTCCAAGTCCAGAGTTCCTGCAAGGAACCAATTTCAATTCAGAGATCATTAGGCAGGATTCATGTAAATACATGAGCTCCCCACATCTGGATGCTCACCTCAAAGAACTGAACCCTGGAGATTCCTCGCCAAACTGTTCCACCAAGCAAGAATGCATAGGTGGGGAACATGAATTTGAATGGCCCATAAATATAGGGGAAGATCAGACCCAAGTCTGTGAGAGATACAAAGGCATATGGATATACACATGTATAAATCCAATGATAAAATTACCATGATGAACTTATTGAAAGCAACATACATATTGCAGCATAGATGGAGACCACAATGAGAGCTGAGAGATTGAAGGGTTTAAATCCAAATGCTGAAGTGTAGCAAACATGAGCAGCTGCAAAAGCAACCATGCCTTGGATAAAGTATTGTGGGTAAACAAGAAGAGCATCACCAATACAGGAGAACATCAGCCCTCCCAAGATTCGTCGAGAATAGGCATACCTGCCAAAATAGAGAAAAAAAGTCAATCATATTCATATGAAGAACTCATCAAAATAATTTCATTGCTATGTTGTGATAAGAACCTTAACCCTCTTCAGCTATTATTCTTATTCACCCCTTCTCCTTTTAAAATTGATGGTTTCGAGATCTATGACATTCGAGGGGAATATGCACACATTGTCCGTTCATGTTTTAAGACCAAACATTGAGCAATTTGGTTGAAAAAGGTTGTTTGGATTTCTTATTGCATTGAATTATGCAACATGGGGGGTGGACTTTATGGCAGGATCAGAATTTGTCTCATCTACCCTACTAAACAAAAACATTTCTTGAATAAGATCTAGCACACAGTGAAGAACTTACAAACAGTTGGCATAATTGCAGGGGGGCTTCCATAAAAGTGTAGGATAATCTATACTTCCTACTTTATTGCAGTAACCTTATTTAGTCTCAAAAGTCTGAAAAGGTTACAAAACAAGTCAACCTTTTAGAACTTGTTTCGGATTGATGTATATATAAAATGTCTATATTTGCTAGTCATTGATGAGGATTTTGCACAAGATGATCAATGATAACAGATTCATCTGAATTCTGGCATTTGTTTACTTGATGATGGAATTGTGGGCAAGCTCTTCAAGGTTTTCAATGTTCAGTCTCCATAGGTTTGGTTTGTTTCAATTTATTTTTTCCTTCATACTATTGCACAGCATGGGGCTACCTGTACAAGTGGAATGGTCAGGCCTAACCCAATATTCACATCAGCAGCTAAGCCATGTTTTCACCATCCATTCAGATATCCTAAAAGGTCTTCAGATCATTGACCTAAGTTTTGAAGTTTTTCAGCACAATAAAGGCATTAGGATTCATATTGATGACTTCAAATTCAAGCAGAAATCAGATTGATACTAGAATCAGAAGTAATTTTTTTTTAATATTTACTCTTGCTCATGACAAATTACATGTATTCTATAGCCGATTGGTAAAACTAGAGAAGGAAGAAGCACTCACTCTTCTCCTAAGTTCATTCCATGGAGGAGGATGAAAAAGATCAAGGAAATGATTGGCATGCATTTCAGTATCACTGCATACAAAGATGGACTACTGTCAGGGATGAATACAACAAAATAGATGGCCACAGTCTTGAAGAAGGGAACCAACTTTGGGCCCACACTCTTCACCTACAAGGGGAAGAGAACATATTTATAAGCAATCTGATCAACCAGCTGCCTTGATCGTCTGACACTTCATCAACCCAAGGATGCATGACCGAATTTATACCTCTATAGATCGGTATATGGGACCAACTACCAAAATAACACATTAGTGAGACTTTTGAAGAGAACATTCAATTTATCAAAGGAATGTCTGCGTAAGAAACCTATAAATCAAGTATAGTATACACTAAACACTTTTTAGTTCACTGCTATGGGTCCCGAAGATCCGTGTCGTGCACCCTAGGGTTAAGTCTACCACCACTGAACTCAACTCACCACTGTAGCTACATTCGTCATCTTGTCGTCCACGGAGATTTCTCTTCCAATTGTGAATAGGAACAAGTCTTAGAGCTCAAAAGCGTTTACTGGCCATGTAGGGCTAGACAACACAAGACAGACACGTTCGAGATTAAATGGACCAGTTTAGCTCCCGTTATCCACTCGCAACGCAAAAGAAACCTTCGTTGGCCTTCATTTGATGCGTAGATGTAATGAACCCTGGATCAGCTGAGCGCAGGGGCCGAAAGGAGTAGAGCTGAATCGCCTGACTGAGTTGCGCGTTGTATTTCTCCCTTGAATACGGACGTGTAACACAACTTCATACTACATTCGTCAGATGTCGGGCGGCGCCACTTGGATTCGCCTATAAACAAACATGGAGGCGTCCGGATCGGCATTGGGATCCTTGAAACATCACGTGGAGAGACTTTGGACATCATATTGCCGGTTCGTCAGCTCCAACGTTGACAGTATCACAGCGCTCGAAACGCTGTTGAAAGGGGGGACGTTGATATTAACAAGTAAGGCTTTTCCTTGTATCTCAGTTTTCTTCAGTTTTATTAATGAAAAGTTAATGCGATTTAGGACGAAATATAATCCTAAGCACTGCCTGCCCATTGAACTCACAGAATACAATATTATACAATACAATACAATGATACAATATTAACATATACAACCAAGTCATTTGAGAGTGTAACATTTTCACCCCTTTGTTTTTCTTTTTTTTTTACCCTTAAGATTAATAAGACATTTATAAATGTAAAGAAGTGCATATGGAAACAAGGAGGGAAAGTGAAACAATTTCAGAGATAAAGGACAAGAGAAGGCATTGCATTCCCTTAGCTGTTACATAATTCTTGCAATTTCCCTTATAAACTTTTAGTAAAAGTTAGGTATAAGACAGGTGTTTGTGAGAAAGTTAAGTTTTCAGTATGTCACATGGTAATTTGTCTCAAATGCATGAAATAGAAGAAAAGAGCAGGTTATCTGGAATTCAAAGAAGTACATTAGAATTGCAGGCTTTCCAGAATATATGAAAAAGTAAAGCCCAATGGCTGAAACCTCCTTTAGATAATGGTCTTTTGAAAAACATGAACTCCTATGAGAGAAAAGAGGTCATTGGCCCCTTTATTTCCCCTAAATGAGGTATGTTCATTTAGGCCTTTGCCTGTTTTTTGAATGAAAATTTCTGTGGTACAGTACTCCTTTCACATGTCACCAGATTTAATATGTTGTATCCAATTCTGCATAGCACATTGTGTTAAGCTGTTGCACTTTTTTTTAAATCACAGAACTGATTTGCTGGAATTAGTCTCCTGGTCTCAGCTGATGTGGGCTTTGAATTTGCCCTATCTAGGCAGGCATTGTGTCTATATACCTTGACATTCTACTGAGCTACTCATGTCTTAGAACATAGATAGACAAAAACTTCCTTATGAAAGACATTGCTTTATATATGGGAATGAAATCATGTCCTGTGCTTGACCACCTAGATCTCTTATTCTCTCTTCCTCTTTTTCTAACCCCTCTCTCTCTAATCCTTTCTTCCTTCTGATCATGTCACTTGAGATGAGTGACTGGTAAGGGTTGTCTTCTGTCAAATGGAATTCTCCGTCCTCATATCTCAATTTTGCTAAAAGTCTGTAAGGTTCCATGAGGTTACACTGTCCTCATCCCCCTCTCCTTGTCCAACATAATGATTCCAGCATGAGAGGAGAATCTATCCTCCTTTCCATATGTTGCAGTTAAAGTGCAATTATTCTTTCACTCCATACCCAGGTTTACTATGAAAAATCTCATTGCTCCAGTTACAGGAAAACCTTGTTAATTTGATATTGGATTTTTCAAAGTATCAAGTACTTTGAAGTCATCATCGTTCCTCATCTGAGAGGATAGCAATATGTATGCTCTATAATTGGATAATTCATATTATGACTAATTTGACATTTGAGGGCATTTTATGGTCCCATGAGCTATAAACTTATAGAAGCATGTTCATTTACTTTGAAGGGCATTGCCCCATACCACCAACAAATGACCTACTGTCCCTAACCTCACATTCCAATTGGCTGCAAAGCCATTTAATTGCCTTCTTGGAAACTTCTATTTGTCATTCAGAAGAATTATAAACTGACTAACTGATTCATGAATGAGCATTCTGCATTGTATTTTCAGACAAATTCTCTGATGGGGCATGGACAAGAGCATTTCTGGATTTGCTGGACCTTGTTTGTCTTATGCATGATACCATCATTCGCCATGTCCTCCTTGGAGAGAAACAACTTGGCCAAGGCCTTCACAATTGCTCTGAGTCATTGAAGCTCCTTCTAACTGTTCTGGATTACACCAAAATTTCTCTTGAAGTTGTAGCATGGAGGTTCTACAGAGAACCTGCAAAATGGTTCATGGTCTTCTGCATTGAGATTGTCAGGTCAGTGTTGGAGAATAAGGCCCTCTTGTGTTGTTTGTATATTTATTATTTTTGTCTTTCTTTGAAAGAAAAGCAACAAAAAAATTATCTTCTACCCCTATCCATAAGATAAAGCTCATCTGGACATTATGGTTGAAAAATAGACTTTCAGAGACAAATAGATCCAAATTGCAAAGGCTTGGAAAACATGTTTAATATGGGTATATCAAATGAACAACAAAGTTACTAATGCACAAAAGTATTTGAATAAACAAGGATAACAGAAGCAGGCTGTGTATCAGCCTGCTTCTGTTATCCTTCTGATATCATCATGAAAAATCCCAAGCATGACACCTTACACAAGGGTTAACCTGTTTAAGAGGGAGTTTTTGAGCACACACCTTGTGCTGGGGGAGTAAGTTTTTTTCCCCATGACTTGGAGCCTTTCATTCAGTAGCATAATTTTGTTTCAGAGGCAATGTCCAGGAAAAAGTTTCTTGTTTATTTATCAAATATAGTCCAAAGAATTATTACAAAGGTTCACCTGCAACATTTGCAGTCCACAGTCCTTGGATGAGCTATGAGATCACATCACTGATACTGTTCAGGGTATATCCTGTGTTTGTGCAAAAGTTATGGATAATTTTGTTGAACGTCTCCAGAAGTCTGTTGAAAGAGAAGGTGGACATGTTGAGTACTAAACAAAGCTTCAAAGACTAATGGTCCCTCATTAGTTTCAACTGGAAAGTTTTACATACTTGTAATAATCAGGAAAATAAAATGGATACCTCTGAGTGAGATACTCACCATTTTACTACTTGATATTTTCACCTTGAACTACAGGACAGCATTGATTCAGTAACTCTCACAATGGCTAGTGCTTTGAAGCAAGGTGTATTATCAGAGAGAAATGTCACCTCCAGTAAATGAATGTTCTCATGATATGAGTTGGTTTCTGGGAAGAGAGCATGTCATACAAATAAAATCTTGCATTCATTAACACAAATGCACAGAATTCTCAGCCTTTTGTGAAGGGTTGAAAGAAAAAAGTCTGTCTACAAGAAGATAGCCTTTAAAGATTCAGTAATGAATAGCAGTCTATACAAATATCAGGTTTCCATTTTTGGCACCTTTTTTTAAATTACAGATATACTAGTTTTCCTTTCAGCCAGCAACCATAGTTGTATAGTCAAAGCAAATGTGAATATAAAAGTCATTTTTAACATTATTATGGTATCTCCTTTGACATTGAAGAATAGCTTAACCATGCCAAGCTTTGCTGCGAATTTTCTCTTTGTCTTCATCACATGGTCTATGGCTGATTTCAAAACTGCAGTCCAGTCACAGTTTGATTGCAATTCAGTTCCAGTTTTAGTTTAGTTAAGGTTCCAATTGGGATTTTGTTATGTGAGTAGTTTCTAAGACCACAGTGGAACTTCAATCAGACCAAAGTCTGAACTGGAACTTGAACCAAACTGCAACTGAACTGCCATTTTGAAACCAGCCTCAGTCTGAGTGTCAGATTGGTGTAGCTCATGCAGTTTCAACAGCTGCCTTAAGGAAAGTGTGACCCTTTTCTATCAGATTGAGAAAGGAGCAACTGCAGGCTGGAATTTAACGAAGATTTGAAGAACATCCCCTGGAACTGAGATGCATTTACAGTATCTAGCATCATCCATGATTCCATGAAGTGGTTTGCCTGGTGGCTTAGTCATATGTGTGTGCCTCAGAAGCTCCTTAGAAGAATTATTAAGCGTCAAAGAAGAGATTCATTTTTTATTGGTGTCAATCAGTGCAACATGCTTTTGTGCACCGACCTTAATGCCTTCATGCTATATCTGGGCATGAACTACTCTGTTTAACACAGCTTATTCAAAACATGGTGCATGGAGCAGAACTGAACATGTTCCCTTCACTCCTGAGGAAAATCCCATGCACTGGCAACAGCAATATAATTCCATGCATTTGTTGAATTGGCCTGCCTGAAAATGAAATGGAAACTTGAGTATGAGGATGTTTGCTGTTGAAATTGAAACAACCATGGTAGAATTTGATTGAATGGGTTTTTGCTTAATATCATCTGGTACACTAATGTTTTTCAAATAATGAAGGAATGGAATGACACAGTCTTGGAGGACCATATTACATAAATGACTTTTCTCTAAGATTAGGCTCCTTGCTTCCAGATCCAGTCTTTAACCATGTTGAAAGCTTATTTTAGCCTAAGTGAATCCAAGCTGTCCTATCAACTCATGGTGGGAATAGTAACATATTGATGAAGAGTGTAGGAATATATCCAGTTTTGCCACAACTCTCTTTGCTTAGGATGTGAAAGGGGGGCTAGGAGTTCAGGATGTCCCAGTCTTTTCATTAAAGTTTTAAGACTATCATCATGAAAGATGCCAAGAGCTAGGTTACAAAATGGTGAAAGTTATATTTTACTATATTCTTACTCAAAGTTACTTCTACATTTTTTAAAGGCAACTTTATGCAGCCCTGAAGTGAAATGATGTTTTTGCATTGTATCTCACTCCCTAAAATATTTTTTACTTTATTCTAGGTTCATTGTGAGAACAACATTGCTTTTGAAGCATAGAAGTGGCATACTTGGAACACCTCCAGTTAAGTCACTGGATCGAACAAAATTGATTAGAAGAGACCAAGTTCAATATTCTCCACTCTACCAATCAGGACGACAGCTCAGAAAGTTACATGGGGGTAAGAATCAGAGTTCCTTGCTTTCCCTTCAATTGACCCTTAAATCTGAAACTGTGTATTTGTATATGACAATTATTATCTGGGTTTGCAGCATGATGTTTATACAGTGTGAGAGTGTTGCAGCATGTCAGTATTATCATCATACTGAGGTATGGTGGTTTGGGCCTTGCTGATAATCATACCAACTTCTTGATGGTTTTATATTATTGCCGCAGTATAAAAACCATGGAGTACCACATATAATTACACAGATGAATAAAACCAATAAGGATTTTGGTAACATTCATGCCTAGTAAAAATTAGCATCAAAATGTCATCTTCAAGAGGAAGACAAGGGTGATTGGTATCATGTTCATATACAATGATGCTTTGAATCCCCTTTATAAGTATGGTTGACTATGACTCAACTTATGAGTTAGAATGAGGCAGGTGTACATAGCCGGGTTGTCTTGCCTCCAAGCTCCTCTCCTTCAATCATTTAACCCATCTCACTGTGGCAGATGAAGTTATTAGGCACTTTTTCTCAAGCTGTTTTTTTTGCAAATTTTGTAGATATCACTTTGCAACCATTGCATGATAGCATCCTCCTTGTTGAACTTTTCCTTGCAGTTTTATCATCCATGCAAGCAAATGTTTTTCAAACCATTACTTACCAAAGATGGCCTTGCATGGTGATGCAGTGAATTTGCACTTGATGCTAGGAGTGGTGAGGAAGGGACTAGCCTGAGCAGTGTTTTATGTTAATACCATGGTGATTCTCCTTATCATTCAAAGTGTCTGTCAAAGTATTTTTGAGAACTCAAAATCAATCTATGAAGAGTAGGACTGTTTTGTTTACTCAAAACCCTTATAAAGCCCAATTAAGGGAAATTACTCATTAGCATTGATTCCAGAGGTAATAAAAAGTTATTATTAAATCTAAAAACTAAAGATTTATAACATGTAATGAGTGCAAACTGATTGTAAACTGATTTTTTTTAATGCAATTCATTCCCGAAACATATGTTCATACATTGCATTAATTCATTCAAATTTGCAGTTTTCCATCAATAACCTAGACCACTTAATAGAAATTTAAAACTTTTGAACAAAGCAATTTAAAAATTCTGTGTTGATATTATACCCACATATATGTATATGAATTAAATATGCCAGCTCTATTGCTCAGCTGAATATCCTGTATTCATTGTTGGCATAAAGGTTAAGATTCAATATGTTCAACATCAAGCCTTCATATGAGCTAACCTCAATGACTCTTGCATACCTTTTTTCATAGCACCTCCAGTGACAGAGCGAACATGGAAGCAAGATAGCCCCCAAAATGGACTCACAGTTCTTGGACAACCTGCTCAATTAGATAGCTTGCAAATGAAGGCTGAGGCAAGTGAATTCATGCTTACCAGAATATATGCTTCTTATTCACCCTGTTTTCAGTCATCATTTAATGGGCTTTCAATCCTTCAGCTGGTTCATTATAGCCGCCCTCTGGTGTACCTCGTGTCATTGCTCATCAGTGGAAAGTCTTCCATGAAGCCTTGGGTTGCTGCTTTTGCCATGGATGTGTCCAGGTAGGTAAAAGCAATAGGAGCTCTTCCAAAAATTAGGGATTTTACATGGCATCTCTTTTAAATTAACCTGGCATGGGTCTTTTTTTCCTCAGCTTGGTTCTTCATAACAGGGGGATAAGGACACTGCACATGGTGGATCATGATGTGCTCTCAAAGCGTTCATTGTCCCTGCTGCTGTACTTGATGCGGTCTCCTTTCTTTGATCACTACACAAAGCATCGTCTTACGAGTGTCTTGTCATCAGTAGGTGAGAAAGTTCCACTGCTAGGTCTCCTTGCCCAGCGTCTTTTGCTCTATATAATAGAGTTGCAGCAACTTTATTTTGCTGTCTGGTGATTTTAACAGAATGCTCCCTGTATCCATATGGGTTGGGGTGTCCCTGAAACTGTTATGCCTAACTATTCATCCTGTAAAATGTATTTTCACTATGTAGGGCATTCTTCATCAGGCCTAGTGTTGGTCACATTATCAGTTCCATCATCTAGTTTACTGCTGAGATTTATAAATGTTATTTTTTTGTATGCTTGGCATATCACTTTCAGCATAGGGATCATTGCCCCTTGTGATTTTTCATGCCTGATTTTTCCATTATTATGAATGAGATTGTTGATTCTGCTGTTATCAAATAAAGTCAACTAATTTTTCTTCTGTGATTTCCACAAATTGATTTCTTTCATTGTATGTGTCTCTGATCATCTGGCTGGAATATATGATTTTCTTATTTGCATTTCATTTGCTCATGACTTTACTGGGATAGATACAACACTTTTTCGTGTAGAGCCCAGATTCCATTTATAATTTCAAGTCCATAGCTTTTTTAAGTTGCATATTAGGGCCATAAAATTGTACTTCTATACCCTTGTGAGCAGCTTCCTGGTAGGATGGTTCCAGCAGCATGACCTAAGATGCTCATACATGCTAAATTGAGTGATTCAGAATTATGCATTCACTCATCCCAAAGGATTGTAAGTGGGGATGTTCTTATGAATCACCCTGTCCTCTGATGCTTGCATTTTTGCAGGCTACTGTCATGTAGCATATCTTCTTCTGAACTCAATTACTGTTCCTTGTTCCTTCACTATTTACTTCAAAACAAAAGAAACAAAATCTGGCTGGCTAATGCATTTATTTGGAAGAGAGCAGCACTCAAGATGCCTCCATACATTCTCACAGGGACTTCCCCAGGATCACAATCTTGTAGCATCACATAATTAGGTCATAGATGACATTGATGGTAGGGGATGACAGATTGAATGTCTGCCACGGGCATTCAGCTATCACAGGATCTGTTATTAACCTAGAGGGCCAGCTCCAGGAAAGAACCATAAATAAAATATACAATGCACCGGTCCACAAAGAGTTCGTCAAGATCCCATTTTCTGAGATCAGACATTCTAACTCTATTCAAAAATTGTCATTAAAAGCAGAAAAGGCCTGACCTAATAGAAGTATTAACTGATAAACTAAATTAAAATGAAATAATCCCACTAGAATAATGCTCATGGTGTGTCGATATGCCTACATGAAGCAGTTGAAATAAAATAAACTTTCTCTGTTCAATGGTAAGAAAATTAAGACATTCCCAAATTTCAGCAAGAGGGAACTTCAAAAAGAATCTGGCATTTGAAACAAGACAAAGTTTGAGGCACATAGAAGTCATAAAAGTTGCTTAGATGATATTCTCTTCTCAACATTTCCCAATAAATAAAATACTGGAATGAAGCTGAAGAGAAGAGGCCGCAATCATGACTCAAATATCATGTAAGATGCCTCATGGTCACTGGGTGATCCTCTCTCATTGACATTCATTTCCTTGGTGAAATCACTGGCATCCATTTGAAAAGTATCCAGATATGCTTCATCTGGGTCTCCTGTGAATGTTAAAAGTTTGACATTAGCAGCTGAAGTTTGAAGGACTTAAAAAAGTGAGACATCACCTACCTGCCAACTGCCAATTACAGGAGCTTTCGTATTTTTCACCTTCAATGAAGCTATCAAATTGAAGGTCAGCATTCTGAACTCTCTCTTCTGGTGCCAAAATAGCACTAGTGTCAGCATCTGTCACATCAAATATCTCCTTCACCTTTACCTGGAAAAAATATAAAAATATTGAGCATGAACCAATTTCAATATGAGGAAATGAAGGATCCTAATTGTCAAAATCCTGATGATACCTGATTTTTACTATCAAGATAGTAGTAGGCCATAACAGCATCCTGATGAGAGGTGACTTCCAAGATTTGCTCAAAGGTGTCATCATGGTGGGATTCTGCTAAAGGTTTTTCTCCCTGTCCATCTTCCTGGATTGCATGCAGAGGTTGATAATGATGCTGCAAGTAATCCTCTGCTGCTTGGGTGTTGAGAGACAAGGCTTCACTCTGAGAATGAGGAAGACCCCTAAAGACAGAAAATGGCACAATGAGAAGAAAAAAGAACATGAGAACACTGTAACTTTCCCATGAATGCCCATTGCAATTACCCATTGTTGAGGTCAAAAGTGAAGTCAAAGTTGTACTTGTTTCGTATGAAGTTGATTGCACCAGGCATATCTGCAACACAGAGAGCCCAAAGTCAAAACAAATTACAGCATGTGTGTACATTAGATGAAAATGGGAAGGTTATTACAGCTTACCATATTCTCTATATTCTGTGATTGCAAGTTGACAAGAAAATTTGGCACTGAATTGCTCTCGCTTGTCATTCATCTTCTTAATTACTGCAACAATGAACTTGACAAGAGAGAGGGCCAGCTGTGCAAAATCTCCTGTTAGTTTTGGAATGGCATCACAAAATCTGTGGGAAAGAGAAAATTCCTATTAGATCCAAAGCCTCAGGAAATAAACACACTTTCGAAGGAGGAAGTTTTGCTTTACCTAAGGAAAGTGGCATGAGCAATATCTCTAGGCAGGACATAGGGCAATGCTAGAACAGAGATCAGGCTGGAGCCTCTATGTCGAAAGACCCAATTGACAAGGCCCTTGTTTGCAGAGTCAATAGCTTCCTGTAGGATGGATGTCACTGTCTCTGGAAGACTGTCCAGGAGTGCAACCTTTTCAACAGAAAAGAAAACAGGACTCCTAAGTTGTACATTGAATGCAGGTGAATTTCAGACAATGTTTCTGTTGTACCTGTCTCTGAACCTTGCAGTCAGTACATTCCAGATCATGTCTCAAGGTCTCTTCCACTGTCTGCGATAGTTGAAAGGTTGATGTCACTGAAAGACATCTTGTGCAGGATATCAGCTGATTTCTTTGCAGGAACTTGAGTGCATCATCAAATCCCTGACAGGGAAACCAAACCTTACATGCATCTAAGATCAAAATGTTCCTTTAAATCTGGGTGTGGTATTTATATTACCTGTTGGCACATCCTGGAAAGAATTTCAGGCTCTGGTGGGAAGAGTATCCTGGCCATTCGATACAGGTTCTCGCGTGAGAGCTCAATGCTTGTATTCGCCAAATTAATCTGTTAGAGGGATTGAATCCAGTTGTTCTAGGATCACCTCCTGCTCTGTTTATATTTTGGACTCATGTCAGCTTCACATGTAATCATGCAATTCAACTGAGACTCAAGAAGCAATGAATGCAAAAGTGAGCATGCTCAGGCCATACCTGTAATAAAGAGGCTGAGGGATCACGAGGACAGATATCTGTTTCCCCACAGAAGGGACTGACAGTGATGGTGTGCTCATCCAGCAGTGGGATGTTGTTACTGAAGCAACCATCAATGTAGCGGACCCCCCTGAGTTTCAGTGGGACCCAACCAGAGAAAATAGGGATGAAAGCAGAGCATAGCAGTGCCTACAGAAAGCCAGAAAGAAACTTCATCCAAGAACATGCTGTTGTGAGTTTGCTCATTCTCATTTCACTTGCAGATGAGTCCCTATATGCCATTGCCACTCAAGACAGTACTGGAGGAATGTTCTATAAGGGTTGACTGTGATTTTTTAATTTTCCTGTTTAAAAAGTAATGCCCATGACACCTTCAAACCCTGCAAAATGTTATTTGCTAACATCCACAAACCAATATATTACCATTGACCACTTAGTAAAGCATTTAGGGAACTCAGTACCAAGCATTTGCCTCATTTGCAAATTGGCCAAAGTCCTGAATATGCAATCTCTGCCTTTCTCCTAAATCCTTGATTTGAGAATTGCTAATTCAAGCCATTACCATGCAGCAAATTTGCATAATGACTCCCAATAAAGGTTTCCAAGATGCGCTAATTTTTTTTCCAAAGCAGTACTTCGCCCCAAGTGTCGATTAAGAATGAAGATTGTCAAAATTAAGTGTCGATTAAGAAGAAATATACCAGACTATCGTATATGCTATAAATGGCTGAAAGTGCAATGGTGTGCAAACATTAGAGATGAGTATTTGGATTGGATGTGAGATTATGAAGTCCATCACTTTATGTATTCTGGGAAATAAACATATTTTGGCAAAACCTATTGAGCATCCATATACCTGCCTCTCGGTACGTGGCATGAGGACAAAGGTCAAGTGAGTAGGTGACACGGTAACAGATAAGATTTACACCAGATACTAATGACCTCACTTCCCAGTACTTGAATATATATATATATATATATATATCCCAAAGAATTCCCTGAACACTATCATCTTCAACAAGCGGATATCGAATAGGTAAAAATGCGTATTTTCCTTTGCTGTGCATTAGATGGGTAAAGTGCATCTTAGAGTGTCGTTTTGAGAAATGAGACGGATCATGCAGCGTGTGGCATGCAAATGGAATGCTTACAAGAAAGGATTAGCGCAATTATAGGCCACGGTCATGCAGCATGCAAGTCGGAAACAAGTTTTACTCCGCGATACCTGCAGCAATGATACGTTACTGTCCTGCGGACAGATATCGCTTTCCCCGCAGAAAGGGCTGACAGTGATGGTGTTTTCGTCCAACACGGGCAAGTTGTCACTAAATCCCCCATCGGCATAACGAACGCCTCGGAATTTCGGCGGGAAGTAACCGGAAAAGAAGGGGATGAACGCACTGCACAGCAATGCCTGCAATGATTTCAACACCAGTTTCCATGGAAAAAATAACGGAAGGCATCAGTGTAGAATTTCTCTCTCGAAAGCAGATTATTGCGGTTGGGAGCAAACGCACCCAAGTAATCGCATGCACTTGTTGAAATCTGTGAATTCCTTAGATCACATAGTACAGAAATAAACTGATAGCTCTTGCTGCTGTTAAGACAGGTTTATTTGTACACAAACAAGTGAGGACAAAGAACCGTCTCTGCTGGGAAAGAAAACTAGGTCATCTCGAGTCCTATACACACAAATGTATATCCATTTTTATCTGCTAGCGTATTCTCGATATGACCAAAGACGTACGTCTAAAATCAATAAGGACTAAAGTTTTGGTGCCCCTGCCGTCTAACGCAAGAGCGTCACATGATGAGGAAAAGCGACTCACCTGAATGAGATCCTCTTTGCTCTCAAAATGACTGATTATGACATTCCTACGATCGTAGACTCTGGTCAAGGAAACGTGAAGCTTCCCGTTCACGATCTCGTGGCAATTCTCAGGCAAAATCTGCTCCATATAGGGGAGTCATAAGCTTTATCTTGACCCTTGCCATTCAACACTATTCTTGACCGCTACATGAGTCAATTGACTTACTTCCTCGAGCCCCGATCTGAGGATTTTGGTAATGTTGAAGGTTGGGTTGAAAGGACCGAGGGTTTTCGCTCTGGCCTGTGATGCTACTCGGATGACGTCACTCGTGATTTGTCCTAGGAGAAAAAAGGGAAAACGGGAGGAAGCCATTTTATATTTCCGCTTCATATTAAGTCCGGTTACATGCAAAGATGAATAAGAGAAAAGTCCAAGGGCAAATGAGTTCGGGACGAACTCGAGTGACATTGCCAAGGACGACGTTGAAGAGGCATAAATTCATTCTGAGATAATATGCCTACTACGTATTCGTCGCGAAGCGTCCTTGTCCGTGAACGTGTTTCTTTTTTTTTCCCTTGAGAAGTAACAGCTAGACAGACGAAGAATCAGATAACGGAACTCAGGATGGGGCGGGGGGGGGACGAAGACACCAAGGTCATTCCTATATACGCACTATAACAGATCAGGGATCCGTTTATCGGTCAGATGAAAAGCGAGACTTGGGGGGGACGAACGATACCAAGGGGAAAGCGCACGTGCAATGACGTAACAGGAATGTCCCTGGCAAAAGGAATCCTATCCTTCTCGTTCGATACTCAATACGCTGCCTCGTCCTTCACGATCCCCTCTCTCTATAAAGCATCAGCTGTATTTAATGCGGTGCGAACGTAACGTGATTCCAGGAGGAAGCGAGAAATGAAAGGCGCAGTCCCACGGATCAATGCCCGTCAAGCAGAGCCATTCTCGTCGGGCCGCTCTCCCCTCCCAAGTCAACGGCCGTGGAATCCCTCTCACAATGCCCAGTCGTCGGTTGGGACCTCGACCAACGAAAAGGGGGGGAAGGGAACAAAAATTCCAGCTGCGCTTTTGTTCTCGAGTCGTGGCTGCCCTTCCGAAGGCAATCACACTCATAATTATTCCTCTACCCCATCATCTCTGCCCACAAGCGGTTTCAGATCACCAAAACATCGCCCGTGTAGGGCTAAGCGACTTGTTCCTCTGGGAGTTCATTGTTTTCTCCCTCCTCCGGAGTAGCAGGTTCTAGGCCGATGGATAATTCCATGACTGTGTCTTGAATCGCATCGAGGACTAGGCCCCACCGTAAATGGGGAGATAAAGAAACTATTTTTCGAGTTGACTTCGGTATGCCAGTACAAACTAGCCCACGGAACCAAACCGACATGTCATTGTTAATTCACTACTTGTGCATGGGAGAATAAGTACCTGGATTCACAGAAATTATGAAATGTATGGGGGGGGGGGGTGCTACCTTGAGCGACTTGTCTGGCAAATTAATAGGCCTACAATAGAAGGCTTCACTCACCGAGAGGTGAATTGCACAGCAAGCAGCATGCAGCAATCGCGCCAGCGGAGGCTCCAGCAGTTTTGTCCACGAACAAATTTGGAGCATACTTCTTGAAGCAGCTTGCCACCCCGACGTGATAGATGCCAAGAAAACCACATCCAGCGAAGGAGACGTTCATGGTTTCTCAAACAAGATGCTAGGAAGAGCAACGAAGCACCTTCGTAAGAGAGATAGGCAAAGGGTATGGACGACAAACGAGCGAAGAACATGAATGAGCCACATGCGCTGAAGGTTGGTATCGGGTTTGTATGGCCTGAGAAACACGTCATCGCAGGGGCTATTCCCATTGGCTCGTATGGAGTGGTCTGAGGATATCGGCATCCTGATTGGTCGATGCGACGAGGGCTTGGTCGCATGTGCTCACTACGCTACGATGACTGTCGGTGAGGGGGATAGGATATCCTGTTCCCCCTCACCTCCTTATGCGCCTTCATTCTCCCGCCTTAGGCGTAGTTCGTACTCGTGCTGTCTCAAGAAAGGGAATGGTTTCTAGCATGCAGTACTGACCGGGGGATTTCAAATGGACTTTTCGTCTAGAAAGTAAAATTCATCATGCATACATACAAGTACAGAAAATAGAGGTACGCTGCTTGAAAATACATTTGGTAAAGGAAGAAAGATTCCAGTCACCAAAATTTTCACAATGAGAAATAGGATTGGGTTGGGTATGACTAAAAACACTCTTTGTAATAATTCGTTTAATCACATTCTTGAGATTTTTCGATAGGAAATTTTTGGCATGGCAGTACTGACCGGAATCGCCAGTCAGCCTACTGGATCCAGCTGCTGTTCAGCAAATTTTTTTTTTCTAAATTGCAGGATTGTAGTCTAGCAACTGGACTTGCTGCTTCGAATTTTTCAATATAGCATTCAGTTGCAGTATCCAGTATGCTCTCCTCCTTGTATACTGTTGTATGGTCCCCAATCTAGTCTTAACAGTCCTGCAAACATCAAGTGCTGCAGTGATTTAGCTGCAGATGTATCCCTCTCCCCTCAACTACTCAGCAAACAATTTTAAACACATATTTTTGAATCAACATTGAATAAACGTTCGGAACGTTGATACAACGTTGGTCGAACGCAGTGCCGTAACAAGGGGTGTGCGAGCGATACAGGGCGCCGATTGGCTGCCGGATTATAGCAAAATACTGTACAAATAAAACTTTAAAAAATTGCAAATTATCCTGAATTTAACTAAATTAAACAGAAACGAATACATAATGTATTGTTGGTGCTGTGGAAACTGGAGAGGTACAGGGGAGGAGTCGTATGCGTACGAACGAATCTCGTATCATCTACAACACGTAGCGTCGAATCATGTAGCGTCGAAAACACATAGCATCAAATCACGTTCTGTCGAAAATTATCGCTGACATTCCAGGCAACGATATCGAATCACTGTGAATCACGTAGTGTCGAACCTCTTAACATCGAATCTCGTATGATAGAGATTCAGCAATAAAAATGCTCCTCCCCTTAATCACGTAGCGTCGAAAACGCGGAATATCAACTCATGCTGCGTCGAAAACACAGCGTTAAATCACGCAGTGTCGAAAATGTGTAGCATCGAATCACGCAGTGTCGAAAATGTGTAGCATCGAATCACGTAGCGTCGAAAACACGAAACATAAAATCTTGGAATCTTGGTTTTCCAAGATAACACAATTTGACAAAAGATAGCAAATTATAATAAACTCTTCTGAAAATAGAAGAATCAATGAATCAACGACTTCCACTTCCAACCTAAGAGACGCTCTTCTTTCGTTGCTCATCCGCTAGGTCTGGACGTTACACTAATTCGACCTTAAGTGATGGGACTTTTCGTTCGAAAGTGGCTTCGACGATACGAGACTCGACGCCACGCAGCACACCCCAGGGGAGGGGGGTGGGGGAGAGCTTTGGACTGATATTTCGCCTCAGTTCGGCGCTGGTCGAACGTTGCCTTGTTTGCTGGGTACCTTGTGTTTCATCATCCTGCAGTTGAATACAACAGGTTGAATTTTCCCCACCTACCCTCCTGGTGCTGTTATTGATACTTTAGAGACACCTTGTGATCATTAATGACGGAGAGGTATATAGATGAGTCGAGCATATTAAACAACATCCCTCTACGAGCAGGACCCGAGCAGTATGAACTCGTGAAGTAGTATGAAGCACATATAATTGGATGAAAGTAAATCTGAAAAGACTGCATCCCATTGTTGCGTAAGTTTGCCCCTACTCCCCCCCCTCCCCCCTTTGTTTCCCGATCTGCCACTGCTTTCTAGTCTTGTAACCAGGGCCGGATTTTCCCACTTACTGAAGTTGCGAGGCCAAGGGCAAGAGGAAGAGTGATGCCCTTTGCTCCATTTGCCCCCCTCCCCTTCCCTTCCCCCTTAATCCGGCCCTGCTTGCAACATGCACGAAAATGAAGCCCAGAGGTTTTTCAGATTCATCTTCCCCAATATTAATTCTCTCATTTACTGAAATCCTGGATATATATATGACGTATCATGAAACCGGCGAAACCTATCTTGTGGCCCGCCGATTTCCCAATTGTTTTCTTATATATTTTATTTCAGTTTTGCACGAACATACGCGCATCGAATCATATCTTCCAACTCCAAATTCCCGGCATTTTATAGCAGCCCTAGGAACGCTTGCAGGAGACATTGGTTAATGCAGGAGACATTGGTTAGTGCGATCTGCATTTTTTCCGGGGAACGGAACCCGAAACTTGAAAGCACCTGGCCAGAAGTGAGGCGCTGCCAGGAGCAGAATGTCTATCCGCAAAATGGCAGTGGATGAAGGAGCACGTGCAAGAGGCAACTACATTCCTATTGAATCCTCTTAGAAGCCTTTATTGTTGAAATTTCCTAACGGTAACGTTATGCTTAGGCCTCTAGATGCAGCCTTTGCGTGCGCAGCATAATAGGCCTACGTTGAATGTTGGCTGCACATGGCCAGTAATACGTGTTCCATATGGCCTATACTGGCCTTGATCTTCGTGTACTTGTCCTTTTCCAATTGTAGTCATGCAAAACGCTAAAGCAGTGCTGTTACATAGATTCAGCCAAATGCCCTAAACCAGAAGTGATGCTGATCTCATACAATGTAACACCTTTTGTGAGAACAAGATCTATTGTCTTCATGGCTAGTTTTCTTGTGATTTGGAGCACTTTGTTTCGATTTTTGGCGATTTTCGAGAAATTCCTGTTTGTAATGATTCATTGATTCATGAGTCATTGTAATGATTTTTCACTTAATGCTCAATGTAGAACTGTTGCACGAAATTCAAGTCAATGTCATCTTTATGACACTGTTTCTCCAAAAGGGACCTATCCTATACACAAGCACAAAGGCTGGTAATTAAGAAACACTCCCTGAGCTACCAGCTGAGCATCTCCTTACCTCAGATAATCAGCTGTTTCTTGTCAGTATCATTCTAGTGATGGTATGTGTAAATATTTGTTAATCCAACTTGGCCTATATGCAAAAAGTAAGAAAATAATAAAGGGACCATTATTCTAAAGAGCTCATTTTCCTTGCATAGGAGTCCATGGTTACTTAACCCTTTGGGGTCCAAGTACTTTGGATAAGCCTGCACTGTCATCCAAGTTTTTTCCATCCCTCATCATGAGGTCAACACGAGAAAACTCAGACGTTAAAGGGCTGTCAACCAATTGGAGGTTACAGCATTCAGGTCTCATTCTTTCATCTCTATATGGCTCGAGGGTGGGAGGGCAGGGTGTGTGAGTCAACTGCAGCTCTCCCCAACAGATACATTCTGAGGATTCTGGTTTAAGCACAAGAGGAAATGCAGCTAAGGTGCCATTTCCCAGGCCAATGAAACTTGATATATGTGAGTAACCAGTTTGGTGTCAAAGGCCAAAGAGTGAAAAAGTTACCCTATTTTGGAGACTTTCTCACTCTTTCAGCCCAACTTAGAAGGAATCTGGCTCCCTTGGTATGTGTTTATAGTTAGTTCTATGCGGTGTGCTTGGGTTTAGTGAAAACCCAAAAAAGCCAGTGAAACGTTAGTCTGAGTCTCTAACTCTGAAGTGATAATGGAATTGATTAAATTACTAAATCTTATGGGTGGAAGGGACAGAGGTCACACAAGATGGGATTGGAATGGAGGCAAGGACTGGCAATGCACTCAGCTCCTTTCATTTTAAACTGTGCTTGTAGCAGTGTGAGTATTCCTAGACATGCAATTAATGGTTACGTACAGTTATCTCGGGAAATTCTGACTGTAAGCAAATTCCGGTTATGTTTTGTGGGAACCCATGAACATCTCTCTTGTGTGTTATGATTCAATTGAAAAGTAAGAAGTTGTATTGGTCTGCAAAATGGCACCTTAACTGGAAATGCTGTCAGAGATGGACTGTTCCAATCAAAGATGGTCTCTCCACAGTTGTTTCACTTCTTTGTGCTTGATCTGATTTTCAATTTTAACCCCTTAACTGGGTAGTTTTTTGTGAAAAAAGGGAAGTTATTTTCTCAGTTTGCACAGGCAGATAGGAGAGTTATACTATTTTGATAAATCTGCAACAATCAGTGAAAATTATAGAACCCTATTTACTAAGAGTATGGATGGGTGTCTGTGGCACTGTGTACTTATCAGCTAGGCCGACCTTGCCCATGTATATGAGGATATTCCATTCATGCCTTTTGGTGGATTTGCTGATTCAGTATGACTCCATATCAAAGCAGACCCTCTCCTTGGGAATGTAAACTTTCCTACCTGGTTGGTCCTTCCACAAGAGTATGGATTCATCAAGGGTAATTCTTGGAAGGAATATATCCTGGAAGTGCTTCACAACCTAGTCCAGGACATAGAAAATCTTCAGCAGCCTTGGATTGGGATTAGTCTCAGGATCAAAATTGCTTTTAATGAAGAACAAGAAAGAGAGAAAGTCTTCATCTTTGCCTTGAAATCACTTCTCTGACAAGACTTCTTCAAAGAAGGGCATCTCTACAATTCTCTTCTTGCTGAAGTGCATGCCATTTATAGACTTCTGCAGAATTCCTTGGAAAATTAGTAGACCGATCATAAGTTTTTCCTCCTTTCGATTAGTGCCCGCCCAGTCCTTGTCCCATCTGCAAGGTTGCTGTCCACCACATGTAGTCAATCCTATTATGTGCTGTTTGGCATAGAGATTGGTTTGCCCTGCAATTTCGAAAGCAAGCCCATCAATGAGGAGAGCCTTAAAGACATCAATAGGATCTTTTCTGTCACCAAAATCAATCATGATTCCATCCTGAACCAAAGACTTGAAGGGCAGGGTTTCCTCAGCCATGTGGACCCAGTCCCTGGAATTATATTACAATCACCACCTCCATGAATCTCCATGTTTTCATTTCCATCATTGCTGCTTTTGTCATCTGATGTTTCTTCATATTCTTCTTCAATTGAAATTTACTCTCGACACTCAAAAGCTAATTTAATGAAGATATTGTCTCTGTAATGCTCACCCTCGAGTTCTCTTCCTTCCACATGATGAAATTGTTGTTAAACAGCTGATAAGTCAGGTAGAAAATGCATCCTGATATTTGACAGCTACATGGAAAGGTTCTAGACAAGTAGCCACATCATGTCAGAAGAGCGCAGGACTCACCTAAGCCACCCAAAGTGAAGAATTCCCAGAAATACAGAACCTACTTGTGGAAACATCTAAAGACATCCATTCCACATTTGCAAACATCCAAAGATGTCTTCCCCAGTAAAGGGGTTAGGAAATAAATATCGAGGTTCATCTAATTCCATTTCTCCAAAAAAGCTATGTATGTTAGCATACAATATGCTTGATCAGTATGCCTTCCAGTCCTTTGGGATAATGACAATGGACTCTGAGACATTCATCATGATTATCAGTTTATTGATATCAGTTATATTGGACTCCATTTGATGAATATTGGTTTACTGGATATTGGTACAATTTTCCCATTGGTGACATCCCTAATTGAGTCTTTATTTTAACTCTGATTCTTGACCAGTTGGTGGGGGGACAGCCAGGGTAGATTTCAGTGGCACTGAATGAGTGGTGAAGGAAATTAATTAAGTCCACTTCCAGGTTGAGCTATTCCTACTAGATGCATCAAATAGGCATAGGCAGAAACTAGACCCAGGTCATTGATATATTTGTCAGTAGGGTATTGAAACAACGATGCTGTTGTACAGGGTGGTGCAAAGGTCCTGTCTCAGGAATCTTTTTCACTGGATAAAGTGTTCAAACTGGTTGCATTGAACTTCATCACAGATTGTTCAGCCATCACAAGAGAGACTCTCATGTGCATGAGAGTATTTGCCACCATATTCACGACTGCAAAACAGCCAAAGGTAACCAGTTTGAACATTTGATTCAGTGAAAGATTCCTTTGGGCAGGGCTTTGGGCACCACCCTGTATTATCTGAAAACTAATTTGTTGTGCAGATACATGCCTGATGGGCATCTATGAGGCATGAAATACTATGATGAAGCTCATCTGTCTACTGACAAAAGGCCATGTTCAGGCTTGAGAAATGATCTGAAACGTTGCCTGCTTGAGAGTGACTGCGTTCTGTTGACTAAGAAGACCCCAAAAGAGTGCATTCTGTCACATGATCCAAGTGTTCCAGAAGAGTGCTGGAGACTAAGACAGACCTTCTTTGAATGCAAGAGATCTCTTCTTGATGCAAGGCAGAGATTCCGAGGACGCAAAGGATATTAAATTCTGGGGTAGGTTTAGTGTGCTGTTTTAATGGTGAGGGTACTGGTGAAAGCTAAAATAAGATCTAAGCTAGTTAGAAAAATCTGTGATGGAGATCCAGAGTTGTTTATCTTTTTTGGGGGGCAGAGATGGTTTTAGAAAAAAGTACCCTTATATCCCAAGACTCAGTATTTTTAAAGAATATTTGCATTTCACTTCATGCTTTTGGACAGAGTGAAAAGAAGGAGAAGTAATGACATTTTCATGTCTAAGAATATATTTTCATCCTGACATTTCTAGTGCACTTCTCATTAGAAAACTATATTATAATAATTTTCATTTCTCTAAGTAGCCAATCTTTCATAACAGCACAGTTTGCATGATGTGCAATAAGAAGAATCTTCCAGAGGTGCTTGTGACACTGCCAGGGCACTCAGCTGAGCCAAATCATTAGCTAATATATTTAGTGAGATTCTTATGTATCTGTAGTGATTTCGTTTGAATACCCTGAATGCATTGTACTCATTGGTTTTTAATTGATCAAGCTATGACAGTTGAGGCCTTAGTCTGTTGAAGTGTTTTTTTTTTTTTTGGTCATGTGGTTGTAGTAAATATGAGCTGTGTATGGAAACCTCTTCCTTCCCTGAGACCCATGCCAACAAACCCAGGCTATGCTGTTGCTGTGAGAGTTATAATTATTGTGAGAAATTCCTACTTATAGGGCACATTTTCTGACTTGTTTTGCATTTCTATTTCTAGCATTATCATCATGGCTTCCACATCTACTGACAAGGAGATGCCTGAAGAAGGCTTGGCCAAATTGAAGGTAATTCAGCAGTCTGAAGATGATGAGACCAATCAGACTTATGTCATTGAAGGGGAGGACCACACCCTTGGGAATGCACTTCGATGGATGATAATGAAAAATCCTGAAGTTGAGTTCTGTGGATATACAATCCCTCACCCCTCAGAGGAGAAGATTCACCTCCGCATCCAGACTTTGTCAGGGACTGCACTGGATTCTTTAGAAACAGGTCTGAAAGATTTGTCCAAGCTCTTTGAGCATGTTCTTGATAAATTTGAAGGTGCTGTGAAGGAATTAAAAAATGGTGTTACTGAAGGGAAAAGCAGCCCATGAAGTGTAAGTATGGTCATTTGGAGAAATGAATAAAATGGTTCATCTCAATGGGGAGGAAGTTGAGCTGTGAAATGTGCACACTGAAACATGGAAACAAGTGCTCATGTACAGGAACAGGATGAGTGCTGTTCACCAGAATCTAGAGACTTTGTATACACACTATATAGCTTGGCTAATTTTTGTTTTTATGAATTGAATTCCTTCATCTTTATCCAATGCAAGGCTTGAGAATGTTAATTAACATTGGCATTCATGGTCTCTCCAGATTTGATGCAACATTCTTTCATTAAATTCTCAATTTCCTAAAAAAAAAGATTCTTAATTTTCAAAATAGACTCTCAGTAGTCATTCAGAAAATGTATTCATCCAAACCATCTTGCATCTGAATGATGTGTTGGTTTCAATAGGAAAAAAAAAATCATCAGTGGTTGAAGCACAGCACTTTGCAGAATGGCTAATGAAATACAGAAACTTGAGTACTTTAGTGCTGTATTTATTCTTTTGAAAACTACCCCAAAACCACATGTGAACATAAGGACAAAAGCCTTTGATCATTGGTAACCATCTTCAAACAAATCAGGCCTGATGGTGCAACATCTGAGTACAGGAATCTCACATATGTGCAAAGGATTATCAGAGAGGAATCGGCATTGTGATTCTCACCTTTCATTGCTTCCTCATGTACGAAAAACACAGCCAACGACTAGATCAGGGCTTTCACAGAAAAATAGATATATATGGAATCGAAACAGTATGGGGACACTTATTATTTCTCTATACATTGTGTGGAAATATCTAGGAATCCCAATAGCAAAGAAGAAAAGCCCACAAAGTTTGGGGAAGCTGAAGGGAAATGGTGTTGCTGAAAAGGTGATCTTTCAGTAGAAGAAAAGGAGCCTTTCTTGGGCAGCACGAGTGAGAACATGCCACTCCCTCTTGATGCTGATATATTGAAAAATGGCTCGCAGACAAATCAGCAAGCCTGTTAAAAAAAAAAAGAGTCTCTTGAATTTTAGAATTGGTATCATCCAAACACCAAGTATGGTTGAAGTGCTTACCAAAAGCCATGATAAGCCACCAGAGCCAGTTGTTCTCATGATTCACAAGGTCAGTGGAATGCTTGACTATGAGGGTCCACTTGGCCAAGGAAAGGCCAAATCCTGCCAGGGCTCCATAACGACCAGCGATTGTCTGACAGAAGCAGATGAGGAGCAAGAAGCCCACCCAATTGAAGAGGAATGCCACTGTTGGGAGTTAAATAAAAAAATTAGTCAAGATAGGTACTACTAACCTAAAAGTATTTGGTTTACTGTTTTCTTTTTAAATGTTAATCTCAACTGTGGAGGAAAACAACAGCTTTTGGTCTCAAATACCAATATGGCCAGCTTAGATGGTCATGAAAAGGGATGTACCACTTTGATTAAGATTTTCATTAATTTCATGAGTCACAATGGAAAATGATCTAAAAGAGTTATCCTTGTAGAAAGAGACACCATTAAAGATAGATCAATTTATTTGGAGCAGAGTCTTGCTTCCCAGTTAATTGCCAAGCATTGCAGAGTGAATTGGGAGAGGAACCTAAAGGTTCCAATGAAAAACAAAATAGCATGACATGCATTCATTTCTGAAGAAAGACACAGTGACCATGTTCTCAATTGAGAGAAATGTTTTCAAGGTGTGAGAACTAGTATAGCTTGCCTATCAATCCTGTGCCAGAATAGCAATTAGACATTACATGAAGGATATCTTACCTATGCATAGAAATAGGAAGAAAACTTTTTTTTTTTTTTGGGGGGGGGGGGGGGGGGGGTG